AAATGTATAAACTTCTCAACCTAGCTGTGTTACCTTTGGGAACTCAATCTCTCAGGGGCTGGATTATCTTATCGATAAAATGTGAGGTTTCTCCACTCTAGTTCTGAACTGTTTTTCATCCTTCTAAATTAAAACCAGGAAAGTATTATAGTAACAAACTTATTCCAATATTACAACTTTTTATTTTGTTACTTTTTTAAATTTTACTTTAGGTTCTGGGGTACATGTGCAGGTCATGCAGGGTTGTTGCATAGGTGCATACATAACCAGGTGATTTGCTGCCTCTATTCCTCCTTTGACTATATCTGGCATTTCTCCCCATTTTATCCCACCCCTGCTGTCCCTCCCCTAACCCCCTGCAACTTCCCCCAGTGTGTGATGCTTCTCTCCCTGAGTCTATGTGTTCTCATTGTTTGACACCCACCTATGAGTGATAACATGCAGTGTTTGGTTTTCTGTTCTTGTGTCAGCTTGCTGAGAATGATGGTTTCCAGATTCATCCAAGTCCCTACAAAGGACACGAACTTATTGTTTTTTATGGCTGCATAGTATTCCATGGTGTATATGTGCCACATTTTCTTTGTCCAGTCTATCACTTATGGGCATTTGGGTTGGTTCAAGGTCTTTGCTATTGTACACAGGGCTGCAATGAACATACGTGTGCATGTGTCTTTATAGTAGAATGATTTATAGTTCTTTGGGTATATACCCAGTGATGGAATTGCTGGGTCAAATGGAATTTCTATTTCTAGATCTTGAGAAATCGTCAAACTGTCCTCCACAATGGTTGAACTAATTTATACTGCCACCAACACTGTAAGAGTGTTCCTATTTCTCCACATCCTCTCCAGCATCTGTTGTCTCCAGATTTTTTAATGATGGCCATTCTAACTGGTGTGAGATGGTATCTCAATGTGGTTTTGATTTGCATTTCTCTAATGACCAGTGATGATGAGCATTTTTTCATATTTGTTGGCCTCATATATGTCTTTTTTTTTCTAACTATTAAAACAACACAAGAAGGAGTATGTGTCCTAATTCTCAACATCCCTAATGACTTCATAATTGATACCCAAGGAGGGGTTTCTGTAACTTTCTCATTTTGAGGGTGGGGATGCAAACTGAAATTTCCTAGAAAAGCCAGTTATATCAATGAACAGGTAAATTTTGTTTGCACACTAGGTAATCACTCTTGAAAAGGACAAAAAGCCACATATAAAGAAATGCAAAGTAAATGGTTTTTAAAGATTATCAACACAGAAATATTTGTGTGATTGCATATGTGCCTATGAATGAGTAACTTATGAAGCTTGGGTGCCTCCTTCAAAGAGGAACTGCTATGTTTCCCTCTCATTCTTTTGAGCTACTTTAAATGTCATACTTGGCCCCCAATGCGGGAAGCATACATGGATTATGAATTTTATAAAAAGGTCCAAAATTAATAACAAAAGACAAACACCTAGTAAAGGCTAAGTGTGAGGTATTCTACATTGATTATCTCATTAACTGTTTTAAATAATCCTGTAAGCTAAGTATTAACATGTAAACTCCTTTTAAAAAACTGTAACAGATTTATTGAGATATAATATACATACTTTGATATTCACCTTTTTAAAGTATATAATCTAGTAGTTTTTAGCATATTGACAGAGTGGCACAACTATTACCATAATCTAATTGTGTAATATTTTTTGTCTTCCCAAAAAGAAACCCTGAACTCATTAGCAGTAACTCCCCATTTTTCCTTCCTGGTAGTCCCCAGTAACCACTAACACTAATCTAGTTGTCACTATGAATTTGCCTATTCTGAGCATTTCACTCAAATGAAATGATAAATATGTGGTCTTGTGCAACCGTTTCACTTAGCAGTTTTCAAGGTCCAACTATGTCCTATCAATATTTGTGTGCACATTTCTTTGTAGACATATGCTTTCGGTTCTTCTGGATATATACTGGGAGTGGAGTTGCTAGGTCATATTGTAATTCCATTTTTAACTTTTTGAGGACTGCCAAACTATTTTCCAAAAGGGCTGTACCATTTTACACTTCCAATAGGAATGAATGAGAGTTTCAATTTCTCCACATCCACAACAGCTGATAACCGTCTTTTTTATTACTAGCTATGCTAGTGAGTATGGTTAGTCTGAGTTCCATTTCCTAATGGTCATCCTTTCACAAACATTTTGGCTTACTTCTATATTTTCTTTGGAGAAATGTCTGCCATTCTATGTGTTGTCTTTTTACTTTCTTAATGCTGTCCTTTCATACAAAAAAGTTTTCATGAATCCAAGTTATTTACTTCTTTTGTTGTATATGCTTGTGATGTCATGTCTAAGAACCCACTGCTTAACTGAAGGTCATTAAGATTTCTGCCAATGTTTTCTGCTAATAAGAGTTTCTTGGGTTTTTACTCTCTCATTTTCACCTATAATCCATTTTAGTTAATTTTTGTATATGGTGTATGAATGCCATTTTACAGAAGAGGAAACTAGGTAAAGAAAGGCTAAGCAATTCTCCCAAAGCCTCACAGTATGCAAGGGGCTAAGACAGTATTCAAATCTAAACAACCTGACTCATGAGTATGTACACTTACCTGCAATTGTAATACTATTTCTGTACTCTAACTGAATTTTTTCTTTTGTCAAAATAGATGTAAATCGATAAATTATATAGGCTTTGTTCTTTTAATTATCAATGAGTAGAGAATGTAATAGGAAACTCCTAAAGAAATGTGAATATTGCTACAAAACGGATCATCTAGTTTCTTCTTTATTCAAAGTAATGTTGCAAAGACACAGGAAAACTTTAAAAAGCAAATCCAAAGTTTACGTGCTATAAATCTCCCATTTTCCCATTGCTTTTATCAATTGAAATCACAACAGAAAACGCACCAAACATTTCTTTTCATCAGTATACAAGGTCTATGTTCATTCACTTTATTAGTTTACATTCCCCTTATATTATGTCACCTTCTGTAAAAACTAATTCTTCGAAAGGTGACCATTTTAAATCTAGATGTTTTATTTATCAATTTCAACTATTAATAATTTTTAATCTATAGAAATTTCCCTAAAATGATATAGAAAGCTCTGTGTTCTCATTATAGTCCTGTAAAGAAGGATTTTTGTAATTAACATGCCATTTCACATGAAGGTCCAGGGAAATTAGCAAGGTTTAACTGGCAATGCTAAGTAACACTAATATTTATTAAGACATTGGTCTTGCCAAAATTTTCTCAGGTTGCTTAATATCCAGTGTAATATTTTACCTACCATGTATTACTGACTCATTTAGCAGAGCAATCATTAATTATCAAAATCAATTAAAATTCATAGAGAACTATGGGTTATCTACCATATAAATGATTTACATTATATCAGAGACATTTCAGAGAAGTTTATTAAATAGACCTTTCAATTCTACCTGCTATGCCACAGACAGACTTTTTACAAAGCTAATTAATTTTATCTAGGTAACAGTGGTTATGTATTTCTCAACTCTACATGCCTATTATTTTTATTTTATACAGACACACACACATACACACACACACACACACATTTGTTGCAAAACAAAGATAAGTATTTGGTTAAATGAGGAGCAATCTGCCTGTCTGCATTTTCTTGCTGACTTAAAGCTTGATTTTAATTTGTACTGCATTCTTCTATTAATGAAACTGTCAATTTAAAATGACTATCAAAGTCTATAACATTAACATAATGAACACAGTCTCCTAGAATCCCAAAAGAGGTTTTTAAAAATAAAAAGTAAAAACTTGAGGCTTTATAATAGATGCCATCTACAGAGGGTTTTTTTTTTTTTAATTTCTAATGGGAATACTTTATACCTTCCATGAGCTCTGTAATCTAAACCAATCTGTATAATTTTGCCAGTTTAAAGAAGTCATTTGAATTCGGAAAAGGTTGGAATCTTTAGGCTTTGTTTTCTTTCCAATGGCACAAGTAAGTTTCTGCAAGCATCAGAATCACAAATTCAAATGCAACACTGGCTACATATAACTAATTGGTGGACACCTGGAGAAAGCTCCCCTTTTTAGGGGGAGCTTTGTCCTGCACATTTTAACATTTTGTCCACCCCTGACTAACAGGCTCCCAAATGCTTCTACTACCTACCCCCTTTTATTGAGATAGGGTCTCATTCCGTCACCCAGGCAGAAGTACCATGATGTGATCATAGCTCATAGCCTTGAACTCTAGGCTCAAGAGATCCTCCTGCCTCACCCTCCTAAATAGTTAGGACTATAGGCATGCAGCACCACACTGGTTAGTTTTTTTGTTTGTTTGTTTGTTTTATTTTTTGTAGAGACAGGGTCTTGTTATGTTGGTCAGGCTGGCCTTGAACTCCTGGCCTCAAGCAATTCTCTGGCCTTGGCCTCCCAAAGTCCTGAGATTACAGCATTAGCCACTGCTCCTGGCCTGTGCTACTTTTGATTACTTAGAATACCAAAGAACAGGTTATCTCCAAAGCTCTATAAGTCCTTCCCAGGATTGTTATTATTCTGGGACACTAATATAAGACAACATAGAAGGTCATAAATAAATTCATTCTTCAAAGTATAATGTGCTAAAAAATAGTTGAGTCATTTACCATCCTCAAATACAACTAAAAACGTAATATATAATAAACATAACAAAGTTTCTTAGATACGAAAAATTTAATAATATATTGGATGCTGGCAGAATAAGTTTCTCCAGATGCCAAACGCATAATGTAAATGAGAGTCACTTAAGTCAATGAAGCAGTTGAGATCCAGGCTAAACAAGGGGAAACGTTCTATAAGTGTTAAAATAAAGTATCATATTTTAATCTCTATGTTTCTGGTCGGCTAAATAATATAATTTTTACATTCTAGTCCAATCATATTATAGAAAGAGAAGCTGCTTAGCAGAGAAGCAACTTCGATTTGAAAATTCTATTTGCTTAAAAATAGAAGAGTTTACTCTATCATACAAGATCATAACCAGGGTACCTGGGTTTACCTTTGCTTTGCGAAAGTGGTAGACCACCAGCATGCTAATGAAGTCGAGCAGCATACACAGGGCTTGGAAGGAGATGATGGCAAGTCTCAAATACTTATCCTCCTGGACGAAGCACGGGCTGTCATCAGCACAGAAGGGGCAGCCCTTCCTGCAAGGTAGGCAGACATAGGCTTCTTCTGACACATCTTTTGTACTTCCTGAAATATGTTGATCCGGACCCCTTCCTGAAAGTTCCAAATAAAATCACAGCGTCATTTGCACCTCTTGGGTAAGTAAGGATGAGTACAGAGTCAAAAGACATCCTTGACTCTTTGTTCCTTTTCTCATTGATTAAAGACCTTTTGTCAACCCTCTCGCTAGGGGAGAGAGTTATTTTTCCATCAGACTCCAACAGAATTCTTTTTATCTTCTTGATGTTAAAAATCACCATTGAGAGTGATTGAGGAAAATTAGCAAAAATGGAAATAAAGCTTCATGAGGGCAGGGAACAGTTTTCTAAGTCTTTTATATCATTATCTACCACTCACCAACTGAAAAGCACACAACACATTCCACAAATACTTGTTAGAGAATTAAGCAGAAGAAGTAATAAGAAAGTTGATGTTTTTATGTACCGAGTAAATACATGCATACCTTTGGGAACTTCTTGACCTAGATAGTACAGAATCCAAAATGAGACTCTGCTCCTTAATTCATTCATCAGGGATCTCATCTACCAAGTTCATTAGGTCTAAATTAGATAAAATGGTATTTAATCGACAGTTGCTCAGTGTGCAACTGCTTAATGATGGTGTATCCTTTGCCCAGAGTACAGTCCATACTTACAAGCTATCCTGTAATTTCCCACTTTGCATGCCCTTAGGACATTTTCACACTATTCACTTACTACTATCAATCCTCCTTTTAATTTTAGGTTCTGTCTCAATTATCAGATTTAAGTTACTTCTGAAGCCCAATAGGTGAAGATTCTCTTTAATATTTAAGATGAGTTTAGCACCAACTATCCAATTAATGCCAAATACTAAGAACAAACACCAGAAACAACTATTTCCAACTCAGAATTCAACATAAAAGACATTAATGAATTTGAACTCACTTCAGTATATGACACAACTTTGATTAACTGAGAAATTTGGGAAAGAGGTTATTCTAGGTAACAGGATTTTAATAATACACCTTTTAACAAAGTCTTTGTTTCTTTCAACTCTTGTTAAAAGTTTACAATGTTTCTATAATGTATTTCTCTGCTTTGTTTCCTCAGTAAAAACAATAGGAAAGACATAATTGAATATTTATTTTATGATTATGGATATATTGCTATTTAAGAGTCATCATTCTGTTACATGATACAAAGCAAATGGATTTTAGTGTGAAGCAGACATAGTTCCCTCCTCCAGATAACTCTGTGACATGAGACAACACACTGGACCACTTTGGGTCTTAGTTTACTTATTTATGACACATAAATTCCTGTGGGGTTAAATGACATTATTAATATTCATAAAAATGACAGTGACTAGCTCTTCCTTCTCTTCTCCAAATACAGAAGATGCAAAGAATAATTAGGAATTCATGGTGCCTTAAAGAAAGATATTCCTCCTGAACAGAGAATTTAGAAGAAATAACTGAGATATAGAGGGAGTGTTAGAGACAGAACCTCCAGAGATCTCTAGGAGTGGGTAAGATAATGATTAGGATGTGTACAGAGGGAGATGCTAGATAGGGAGGAGAATTTACACAGTGTCTTAACAGAAATGGAATTTACTGGAAAATGCCAGAATGTGATCAATATGATGATTGAGTAAAGGCTACAAGATTATTTTATCCTTCACTGATCTTTAAGACAGTAGTTTCCTAAGAGTGGGAGATTTAGTCCCTAAGTTGTCAAGGCTTAAGGACTAAATAAGTAATAAGATAAAATGTTATTTAAATAAATATTCTACTGAATGAAAAAAGCAAGAAAAACTGATGGTCGATAGGAATAATGATGCTATTTCTAAAAAGTGATTTTTTTATGTTGTTGCTTTCTTTGAAACACGTGAGATCATAACACAACTGCATCCAGGAAGAGGGGCCATTGGAAATTGAAGAATTATATGAGAAGAGAGTTAAAGAAAGGATTTGAGAAGTCATGACTGAATGTAATCAACAGCATAATTGGAGAAATTAACTCTCAGAATATTTGTTATCTCTTCTAACACTGGAAAAAAGTAAAGTCAAAGATTTTTTTCAGTATATATTTTAATTTTTAATTTCTGTGGATTGTGTCTGTGTGTGTGTGTGTGTGTGTGTGTGTGTGTGTGTGTGTATATATTTTTAATTCTACTTTAGATTCTGGGGTACATGTGCAGATCATGCACAATTGTTGCTTAGGTACATTCACAGTAAGGTGGTTTGCTGCGTCCATCCTCCCATCACCGGTATCTGCCATTTCTCCCCTCCCCTAGCACCCCACAACAGACCCCAGTATGTGACACTCCCCTCTGTGTCCATGTGTTCTCATTGTTCAACACCCACATATGAGTGAGAACATGTGGTGTTTGATTTTCTGTTCTTGTGTCAGTTTGCTGAGAATTATGGTTTCCAGGTTCATCCATGTCCCTACAAAGGACGTGAACTCATCGTTTTTGATGGCTGCATAGTATTCAATGGTGTATATGTGCCACATTTTCTTTGTCTGGCCTATCATTGATGGACATTTGAGTTTGTTCCAGGTCTTTGTTATTGTAAACAGTGCCACAATGAACATGGGTGTGCATGTGTCTTTATAATAGAATGATTTATAGTCCTTTGCATATATACCCAGTAATGGGATTGCTGGGTCAAATGGAATTTCTATTTCTAGGTCCTTGAGGAATCACCACACTGTCTTCCACAATGGTTGAACTAATTTTCACTCCCACCAACAGTGTAAAAGCATTCCTATTTCTCCACATCCTCTCCAGCATCTGTTGTCTCTAGATTTTTTAATGATCACCATTTTAACTGGTATGACATGGTATCTCAATGTGGTTTTGATTTGCATTTCTCTAATGACCAGTGATGATGAGCATTTTTTCAAACATTTGTTGGCTTCATATATGTCTTCTTTTGAAAAGTGCCTTTTCATATCCTTCGCCCATTTTTGGATGGGTTTATTTGTTTCCTTCTTGTAAATTTGTTTTAGTTCTTTATAGATTCTGGATATTAGTCCTTTATCAGATGGGTAGATTGCAAAATTGTTTTCCCATTCTGTTGGTTGCTGATTCACTCAATGACTGTTTCTTTTGCTGTACAGAAGCTCTGGAATTTAGTTAGATTCCATTTGTCTATTTTGGCATTTGTTGCCATTTCTTTTGGTGTTTTAGTCATTAATTCCTTGCCTATGCCTATGTACTGGATAGTTTTGTCTATGTTTTCTTCTAGGGATTTTCTGGTGTTAGGTCTTATGTTTAAGTTCTTAATCCAGCTGGAGTTAATTTTAGTGTAAGGTGCCAGGAAGGGGTCCAGTTTCTGCTTTCTGCACAGGGCTAGCCAATTTCCCAACACCATTTATTAAACAGGGGATCCTTTCCCCATTGCTTGTTTTAGTCAGGTTTGTCAAAGATTAGATGGTTGTAGATGTGTAGTATTGCTCTGGAGGCCTCTGTTCTGTTCCATTGGTCTATGTCTCTGCTTTGGTACTGGTACCATGCTCTTTTTATTACTGTGGCCTTGTAGTATAGCTTAAAGTCCAGCAGTGTGATGCTGCCAGGTTTGTTCTTCTTGCTTAGAATTGTCTTGGCTATGCAGGCTCTTTTTTGGTTCCATATGAAGTTTAAAGTGGTATTTCCCAGTTCTGTGAGGAAGGTCATTGGTAGTTTGATGGGGATAGCATTAAATCTATAAATTACTTTGGGCCGTATGGCCATTTTCACAATATTGATTCTTCCTAACCATGAGCATGGAATGTTTTTCCATCTGTTTGCATCTTCTCGTATTCCTCCATCAGTGGTTTGTAGTTCTCCTTGAAGAGGTCCTTTACATCCTTTGTTAGTTATATTCCTATGTATTTTATTCTCCATGTAGCAACTGTGAATGGGAGTTTGTTCTTGATTTGGCTTTCTCTCTGTTATTGGTGTATAGGAATGCCTGTGATTTCTGCATATTGATTTTGTATCCTGAGACTTTGCTTAAGTTGCTTAGCAGTTGCAGGAGATTTTCGGCTGAGATGATGGCATCTTCTAAATATACAATCATGTCATCTGCAAATAAAGACAATTTGACTTCCTCCTTTCCTAATTGAATACCCATTATTTCTTTTTCTTTCCTGACTGCTGTGGCTAAAAGAGTGGTGAGAGAGGGCATCCTTGTCTAGTGCCAGATTTCAAAGGGAATGCTTCCAGTTTTTGCCCATTCAGTATGACATTGGCAGTGAGTTTGTCATAAATAGCTTTTATTATTTTGTGATACATTCCATCGATACCTAGTTTATCGAGAGTTTTTAGCATAAAGCACTTTTGAATTTTGTCGAAGGCCTTTTCTGCATCTATTGAGATAATCTTGTGGTTTTTGTATTTGGTTCTATTTATGTGGTGGATTACGTTTATGGACTTGCATATCTTGAACCAGCCTTGTATGCCCAGGATGAAGCTTACTTGATTGTGATGGATAAGCTTTTTGATATGCTGTGCAATCTGTCTGCCAGTATTTTATTGAAGATTTTTACATCTATGTTCATCATGGATATTGCCTTAAATTTTCGTTTTTGTTGAGTCTTTTCAGGGTTTTGGTATCAGGATGATGTTGGTCTCATAAAATGAGTTGGGGAGGACTCTCTCATTTTGTATTGTTTGGAATAGTTCCAGAAGGAATGGTACCAGCTCCTCTTTGTACATCTGGTAGAATTTGGCTGTAAACCCTTCTGGACCTGGACTTCATTTGGTTGGTAGGCTATTAATTGCTGCCTCAACTTCAGACCTTGTTATTGGTCTATTCAGGGTTTCAACTTCTTCCTGGTTTAGGCTTGGAAGGGCGCAAGCGTCCAGGAATTTGTCCATTTCTTCCAGGTTAACTGGTTTATGTGCATAAAGTTGTTTGTAGTAATCTCTGATGGTAGTTTGTATTTCTGTGGGATCGGTGATGATATCCCCTTTATCATTTTTTATTGCATCTATTTGATTCTTCTCTCTTTTCTCAATCTGGCTAGTGGACTGTCTATTTTATTGATCGTTTCTAAAAATCAGCTCCTGAATTTACTGATTTT